TCCAGGCATCTAGACACACTGTATGATTCTATATGTGAAAAGGCTTCTGCTGTGCTAATTGTACTAATAGAGATAACTTTTTAAATCATTCTCAATCAGAGCAATCCAATTGTTCATTATGATATCAATGTTGTGTTTTCAAATTATTGTCAGACTATGTTAATTTTTGCTACATAATACTAGTTTCTGAATACCCTTCCACTCACCAGATATTCTATAAATACCAGTGTCTCGCATCTGAAGTCAGATAAATTATTTTTTATAAAAAGTCCATCTTAATAACAATTTCCTCATACAATGTTTCTGACAGCTCAGTCTGATTATTTTTATTTTTGTATTTATATCATAATACCTGTTTAATTAGACCTGTTGATTCCATTTCTTTCTATGTGAGCTTTTCAAATGATCACATTCTGTCTACATTGATAGGAAAGTATCAGAAGCATTCTAACGCTTTTCTAATCATCTTTGAGTGCCTTGAGCAAGCAGAAAGGGCACAAGAATGTAGCTGAAGAGGCCCCTGTCTTTAGCTCCATATGGGTCTCATGCTGTGATCTCAGCCACAGAGTGACCTGGTGCTCTTTGTGTATGGGGAAGTGAGGAAGATTAGTTTGTCTTTCACAGGACAGTGATGACCCAGTACTCTCCATGGTGGATGTTTGCTGCTGGTGGCTGGATGTCTAGCAGAGATTCATCTGGACATAATCATAAGGTCCAAGGTCACTGTTCATCAACCAGAGGAAGATCCACCAATGGGAGATCTGTAGGGTGGTACCAGAACCTAACCTGACAGCATCTCAGCCAATCACCAGCTGTGATCTACAGAATTCTGTCCAAGATATTATTTCTGCAACAGAATAAATATTGTGTTCGTGATCCAACTGTTATTTTTGCTGTCTATTTTAAAATATGACAATTGGACTCCTTCTTGTTGTCGACATGTTGAATGCCCAAACATATTTAGAAATAAGCTGTAGCTGGGACAATCCAAGTTCTCCCACCTGTCTACCTTGTGGCCAGACACAGGAAAACAAACTGTGTACATATTTTGTTTTTAAAGACTGAAGTTCACCAAGAGATGGTTTCCCCAGGTAAAACCAGCTGCCTGTCTGACTGTGTTTCCAGAGCAACCAGCCTGATTGGCAGAACTAGTCAACTCCACAGCGCCCATGCTGCTGGGAAAATTGACCTCAGTGTGAGTTTATGTGTTTGTGTCTGCCCCACAGCCTCACTGTCAAAATGATTTAAATGAGAAATAGAATAATCACAGTTCCTTCAATGCTGTGACTGTGTTAAATGATATCTTACAATAGTATAATAAACTTGTAAGTGCACCTGCAAGAGGTCCCAGCTGCAGCAGTGCAGTCGCTGTGCAGTCCTGCTGAGGGAGGTTTTTGTACGGCTGTGTAACACTGTGTGGACAGATCTTTACTGTTGATGTAGTGGTAACTCTGGCAGTAATATTCTGCTGCATCTTCAGCTTGGACTCCTGTGATGGTCAGAGTGAAGTCAGTCCCAGATCCACTGCCACTGAAACGCTCTGGGATCCCAGTCTGACGGGTAGTTGCAAGATAGATCAGGAGTTTAGGAGCTTCTCCAGCTTTCTGTTGGTACCAGGTTAGGTAGTGCTTAGAGTTATAAACATACACTGCAGGACTGGTCTTACAGCTCACAGTGACTGTCTGTCCGGAGAGAACAGATTTCACTGCTGGAGTCTGAGTCACAGTAACCTGTCCACTGGATTCTGAAAACAAGACAAAACACAGGACATTTAATTTCTTTTAGCTATTTTACACTTTTCTGTAAAGCCTGTTTACATAATATGCTAACAGCTATATACTCCACAAATCAAAAAGTATATTTAAGTCAACATCTAGCCAATAATTATTATTACATACTTTTTTATAAACGTGTAAACATATTTGCCTCAGAAAACACATTTGCTACACTTCTGTTGAAGTTCTTTTTAAATTTTAGATTTATTCTAAATTTATCCAGTTCTTTAAACTTTAACTTTCAAAAGTTAATATTGTGAAATTAATGTCAATAAAGTAAATATAATAGAATTAGAGAAGGATTTTCTTCAGTCCTCACCTAGAGCAAAGAGCCCCAGTGTCCCCAGCAGTAGAATCAGTGGCATCATTGTCCTGTGTGTGTCAGTGACTCTGAAAGGGCTGAACAGTGACTGATCCACACTGTGAGTCTTAAAGTGTTTGGAGCAGTGAGGCGGTACAGGTATGCAAAGCTCCTTCCTGTATACAAATCCTGTTACAGTTAGATGTGATCTGAGCTGTGAAAACACTTCGAGCTTGTTTAGCTTTCGTGTCTGTTGACATTTTTCCCTTTTCTAACCCAGTAAAAGCACAGTGTCTCTTGTGATATAGTGAGAGGTGGCTTTTTGAGGCCATGATCTTCACTCAAAGATCAGGTCTTATGTTATGAACTTGAGCCATGATGGCTTCCTGTTTTTTGGGAAAAGCTGCAGACTGTTGTGGGAAATTATTCAGCAGACGAGCAGTAGACTATGTTGTGTCGTTTCGGCCTTTATTGAGCTCAGTGCTCACAGTGACTGTCCCACAGGATAGATATATCCCAGAAAACCGATTGGAGTTGTTTAACACTTTCATTATTGTCATCTTCTTTGAGGTTTATTACTTCTCATCTTTTAGCAGGAAATTAGTTGATGCAGCTGTTAATACAGAGCAGCCTTTAACCTTTTTGTTCTAACTTTGTGGTACAGGCAGTGCATGGCTGGGCTAAGATACTCCAGCAACTACTCTTATTCTGTACCTCCCACAATGTAATAGAGCCATAATGTGTGAAAAATGTACATATCCCATTTCAAGAATGAGCCAGAGCTGCTCTGGAAGAGAAATTGGCACACATGAGTGAAAGGAGCTGTTGGAATAGGAGCTGTGTGGAATTAACCAATCCTCTGGGCTGATTAAAAACCTTTTAAGATCTGTTGAGAATATATTTTTTCAACATTTGTGAGCATAAAATATAGCTCATAATCTGTGCTGCATATTTTATAGAGCCTTTTTTGCTCATCTTTCTCAAGGGTGCCATTAATTTTGGAATTGACTGCGTGCATGAAATTACCCCAAAATAAAACCTATATAAAATACTTGTTATACTTATTCATATTTTACTAATGGCCACAAATGCGAACAGTTTGACTGTAAAGCACAATAACAGTTTTGACGCTGCTGTACCTGTACTGTTCATCACAATGACCACAGGATCTGTGTCTTATGGAAGTTCGCCTGTCTGCCTACTGGCTTCTCTGAATGAAAAAGATTATAAAAAGTACAGTACAGCCAACACTATCAACAATCAGTGTAAATAATATATTCGCTATGTACACAATCTGTACAATAGTTGACAAGAACCACATACAGTACTATATCTGTTACACTAATTGCTCTTCACAATACAAAGTGCAATTTCTTCATTTTTGTAATTTTCATAATTTCACTGTATAACGGTAATACATAATATTTTGAAAAATAATTTTGGAAAGGAAATGTTAAAATATTTTGAAGACAGTGATTCCAAATCATACTGTAGTTGTTGTGTGTTTTTAGTTTTTATTTTTACTCACCATTAAAGCAGACAAGAGTCCAGAGGAAGATGGAGATGAATGTCATTGTTGCTATGGGTTCTGTTGCCATGAAAGACAGCTCTCAGTCATGAAGTGTTAAGCTCAAAGGGCTGTACACTGTAGTAATACTTTTGTCTAATCATTTTATTTCAGGTTCCAGTGGACAGATTACTGTGGCACAGACTCCATCAGTGACATCGGTTCTCTGGACAGACAGTCACTGTGAGCTGTAAGACCAGCAGGTCTGTGAATACCCCTGTCTTGCTTGGTACCATCAGAAACAGGAGTCCAGCCTGAAGATGCAGGAGATTATTACTGTTTTTAGTACTCTAGTGGGTTACACAGTGATACATGTCTGTACAAAAACCTCCCTCAGCTCTACAAGAGCTGCTGTGGTTCATAAACAGGAACCACATAGAACTGAGACTGAGAACAGCTGCAAAGCTGCTATGATTGGTTAGTGCATCATTTATCAGTATTGTGTTATAAACACACAAAAATAATTTATAGATGTACAACTTTTTAAACTATTTTAAGAAAGTTCTGAAATTTAAAATAACAAATAAACGTAATGCTATTAAACATTTTAGCTCATAAATGCCACCAGAGAAAATATTACCGTACATATTTAGCATTTCTAAATGTTGAATTTTTCATCCTGTGATATTTATTGTCAAGATGCAATCCAACCAACATTTCTAAGGCATGACGCAGAAGCTTGTGTGAAAAAAAGAAGTATTTGTAAATGGCATGAGAGAAAGGACTGGATGTATTAGAATGATGACAAATCGAACTTGAACTTGAACTTAAACTTGAACTTTATTGCCATATGTAACCGGTACTGGTACAATGGAATTCTTACTTACAGAAAGTCTCTCGATTGTAAAACAGGTGTAAAAAACAAGACATAGTGCAAACAGTGCATCAAGACAATGTACAAACAAACATTAGACAATGTGCAAGTAAACATGTAGACAGTTTGAATGTAAACAATACAGACGTGTAAACAATGACTGGAGATGTGCAATAGATAAGAAATCATAAAGAGGTAGATGGTGATGGTGTAG